AAAAAAAAAAAAATGAGTACAGGTCTGTTTTTGACATAAGCAGAGTTTTGTTTGATTTTTGAAAATACTAAAACTGGTTGCAGACTTTAAGTGAACAGGAAGTGAGTTCCAAGCTGCAGATCCTCTTACAGACAATCACCTTTGAGCAAAAGTGGTTCTTGGAAAGGGGACCTTACAGTTTCCATCCAAAGCTGCTCTGGTAGATCTGCTATTGCCCTGCAGTCTCTGTATGCAATCGCTTAATGGTATTGGTGCTAGTCCATTTAAACACTTAAAAATCATTTTTAAAATGTTATAATTTAGGAAATTTGTAAAATCCAAAATGCCACATTTAGCCAAAATGTGACAATGATGGAATCTAATTGGCTTTTGATATAAAACCTTTAAGGCCCGATTATAAAGACTTGCTAGTGGTTTGAGAATAGTTTGATTAGTCTGAGACCAGACAGTAGCTCCTTAGGTAAAATGTGAGAGGATCAGTGAGTTCAGAAACATCTCTGCACAGTAAAGTGTCAAACAATGTCTAATAATTTTAAAACAGTTTATATTAATTAAGGAGCTTTTCTACATTTTGCACATTTCTTTCAAGGGGAACTTATGTGGAGTGAATTTTAGTGGAAGCGCTCGGGACAAATATGGTTCCTAACAGACCTGGTTCCAGGTAGAGAGAACGAACGGGCCTCAGGGTTACAGTCATGGAAAAAAAGATATTAGATCAGCAGCTTCTGATTCTGCCGTCACTTCTTTGTTCTAATATTGATTCATTATATTTTTCCTGTATTATAATTTTTCAATTGAAGAAAATATTATTTCCATCTAAAAAGGATCAAATAAAAAACAAACAAATATAGTATATTTTATTAGGAGATTAGCTTCAGATCCAAAAATTGTGCCACTTTTCCACTTCAACAACAGATGACATTTTCAGTTCTTCAGTCATCCTTAAAAGCAGGAACTTTGTGTAAATAAGCACTGTCTGTGGATAAAAAGAGAAAGGAGGAAATCCATTTGTTCAGTTTCATCATCTATGCAGATTAGCATTTTTCCCCTCGCTTCCAGACACAGTCTGCATGGACTTGTTCACGGATGTTATTCTGTTTGACTTCCGTAAAATGTGACTTTTGTTCCTATTCAGGGAAGTTTGAAATGTAGGTAAATAGTTTCTTATGGGGGTAAAATGTTATTGTGTTTATCTCAGTTCAATACGGAGGTGTATTGCATTGTTAGGGTTATTCTTTTACACATCATGTGCATTGTTACTTTGTTAGCCAGATAGAGAGAGTAGATGGCCTTCCTTCACATGGTGGATGTCACTTTGTTTAAGTAGGTCGTCTAAATAGGACAGCCTTGTTGTCTTTTAAAGATACACAGAATATGGGCACATCTTGGAGGCGGACTGATAGAGGAGAGCTATCTGGATGGCGTGTCAGTTTCTGATACGGACAGCTAAGCATCCACCTGGTGCAACACATAGACTCATGAGCTATAAGAAGCAGGTGATGACCTTGTTCGGGGCTCAATCTTTGCCGGACGCTCGTAGACGGGATTTTTGAGCCCACAGCTGTTTTAGCTCCAAGCATTTTCTCTGTCCTGTAACGACCTGATCTGGAATAAACTCTTTTTTTCTCCTGTTTTTATAGTCCTTTTTATATGGTTTTACCCAGTTTGAGTTAAGAGTAGTTAACTTGCTCCCAGGAAAAGAACCGGTGGGGAAGTCCTGAGGCGCATCTGCCTTCAAGGGGAAATAACTTCCTCATTTAACAGCTTTAAACAAAGGAAAAAAAATGTAAAAGCTTTGTTCTGATCTAAAGGTTCGAGGATCCTCATTTAACAATCCCGGCGTTGTTGTTGACGACCTGCTGACGCCGTGCTCACCCGGAGATCCCAACGCCATAGAGATGACATGGATGGAGGTTCCTGGAGAGAAGCTTTTGGAGCCCGTGGTTTCCATGGTGAGAAGACGATGGGTGATTATTTCCCTGCATTGGTGATGCGTGTGTGTGACCTGCTGGGTTCTCTGTGCAGGCGGACATGCTCCGGTCTCTGAGTAACACCAAGCCCACAGTCAACGAGAAGGACTTGGACCAGCTGAAGAAGTTTACAGAAGATTTTGGTCAAGAAGGCTAATTTACTGGAGACGGGACTTTGGTTGATTTTTTTTTTTTTTTAAACTATAGTTCTTATTGTGCCAATCTGGCTGATGTAATCTGAGAAAAGGACATTTTCTCATGAGGTTGCAAACTTTTGAAACTGTTTGATCTGTTCCACTGAAGCTTGTGTTTACCAGATTAACTTCGCTGCTCTGCACCTTTTCAACACTACAAGCGTCCATCATAGAAGGTGGATTATTTTGCACCAAGTTTACTTTCATGAATGCACTGCAAAAACTTTCTAGAAATAAGTAACATTTTCTCAAATTAAGTGTATTTACCCTTGATTTGAGTATGTAAATAAGATAATTTGCCAATGGAATGAGTATTTTTACTCTTAAAATAAGATAATTAGATAATTTGCGCTTGAAATAAGACATAAGTGCAGTTGTGTTTTCTTATTTTAAACCTAAATCGTCTTGTTCCATTGGCAATATGTCTCTTTTATCTCCTCAATTCAAGAACAAATGCACTTATTTTAAGAAAAAAGGACTTACCTAGATTTGGATTTTTTCCAGTGTGGAGGATAAGTTGGATTTACAGATTTTTCTTCATTTATCAACACAGATCAATTTTTCACTTCATGATTCTTTTCATCTTTTCTTTTTCTTTTGGGTCTCTGATGAATTCCAGTCTGTTTGGTGAAGCCTTTTAAAGCACTTTGAGTTCTGTTTGTGTAACCTTTTATTACTGTGTCTATTGCAGTTGGTTTATATGTTTATTAGGTGACTTTTGTGGTCAAAATTCAGTGTTTTTAGACGCTGTTAAAATCTGAGGTCATTTCTTGCATCTCGTGTTCTGTGAACAAGACTCAGGGTTTAATAAAAACAACGCAAAAACAAAGCTCTCCGTTATCTTCTGCATATATTTATTTGTTAAAATACATCATTAACATCTTGATTTAATTGATAAAAGTGAATCAGATTATTTCACACCTTTAAATATTTTATCCATAAAGGAGAAAAGTGACTTCAGTGTTAATAGGAGAAAGTATTTCTTTTACATTTCTTATAAGGAAATAAAATGTCAGGTGAAACGCTGTGCATGGAGATGAAACTGAATATATATTCACGTAAGTTTTTGTTTTTTTAAGTAAATAACTGAAACTTCACTGGAGGCTAATGTGCTAACTATATGTGCTTCAAGAAATAAAAGATTAAATCATCAATACAAACAAATCCAAACAGGAAGTACAATTCAACAGCTGCCGATGAGTTAAAATGGAAGATTATAGAAAAGGCGTGTCCCTTTGAGCTTTGAATGCATATATTTTATAATTTTTCCTAAAGACGCTACGATTGAAGTATTTATTGCCTCGGTGTGTCCGGTGTTAACACCAATTCTAAATCAACCTGAATAAAGCAGAAACAAATCAGAAACACGGCAGATCTGGGACTCAAACTGAAGGAAAAAGTAAACAAACGTTACAACAGAAAAAAATGATGTGCACATAATGAATCCTCTTTAAATAACCTTTAAAGGATAATAGTTACTGTTTTGGTTAGGAGATATTTCTACGCACACATCACAAAGGAACAACACTGCCTGGGAGTTTGCTAAAAGTGTTCGCTCCGTCTATCACAGCCATGTCTGCGTCATGAGGACCAACAGACACGCCTCATTCGACAGGAGCTCATACAGCAGATACAGTTAGTGAAGCAGCGCAGGTTAGAAGACGGAGAAGAGAGAGCCGAGCGCCAGGCCAGTGGCTGCTCCGGCCAGCATGCCCAGAGCCACGTCCCCTGCGTCGTCACGCTGCCGCTCCTGAATAATGACGTGGTTCACTCCGGGGGCCGCGTACCCACCTTCACAACAGAACAAACCCATGGATTAATCCGCCCTTCAGCAGCTAGCAGCTTCTAACTGCTGCAGTTCTGCTAGACCAGGCATCCCCATAGTGGGTCCTGGAGGGGCTCCTGTCCTGCAGGTTAGAGGCTGATTCTGATGATTTCAGTTCAAACAAAGCCTGTTAATCAACCATCAATGGAAATCAGCTGTGCAGGAGCAGGAAATCTCTAAATCCTGCAGGACGGGGGCCCTCCAGGACCCACTTTAGGGATCCCTGTGCTAGACGACGTGCAGTTAGTTACCTTGGTAGTGATATGGATAAGCTACAGCGTAGGGCTGCCCGTCCCCAGAGTACATAATCTGAGTGGGATGAGCAGGTTGAGCGGTGTAATCTCCATATGGTCCTGGGGCATAAACCTGGAGAAAAAGAAGATTTTATTTTTGCTTAAATCTGCAAGGGTTGGTGATACAGATAGTCCCTTCCACTCCTTCTCCACCAGATGGCGATAAAACTTAGCTTTGACCAAATCATTGCTCTTCTAAGATACTAACTTTGGATTTTCACTTTTTTATTATAAAATGAAAAATAAAGCAATATATAAAACAGCGTCAGAATATGGAGAGTATTTCCTATTGAAGTGTTAACCCCGGTTATTCCTTCTACCTGTGGTTGGGCATATTCCGAGTACGGGGGAGGAGCTGATGCCACGACTTCCTGCGCAAAGCCGATCTGAGGAGCAGCTGCCACCTGGAAACATCATATTATATTAGCAACAATCCTGAGCTATTTGCTCTAAGAAGTGCAACAGGCAGCAGCATCGAAGGTCTGCAAGTCAAAGTCCTTCAACTTTTGCATATTTTGTTTATATATATATATATTTTTTTTTTTCGTAATAGACCAACACAGATGTTGTATAACTGTATAATTAAAGGTAAATGAGACAAATTTCTAAATGTTACACATAAAAAATCTAAAAAGAAAATGCTAAAAAGTATAACATGTTTTTTTTTTTTTTAACCTAACCCCTCCTTCCATCTCAATCAACTGCGTTCAAACATCCCATTGTTAATAAAGCTCAGCTATCTGTAACACAAACTGTCCCATTTTCAGTTTGTCATGCGTCAAATAGGGAACAGATTGAACATGGTAAGCTGGTGAGGACCTATATAGGGTGGAAATATAACAATAAAAAACACCTGGAACACAGCATGCCCCGTGCACAACATGGTAGTGGCAGCATTATGCTTTGGAAAACTGGTCACTTTGTGGAAGATAGGTGAGCTGATTTTGAACAATCCTTAGAAAACTCGGAGGTAAAGACTTGAAACCTGACAAAGGGTCAGAATGGCCTAGTCAAAGTCCTATAGGTGTATCAAATTAAGATTTTTAGGATCGTAAAGGCTGATTTTCACAGGTGCAAACTTTAATCTGACTCAGCTTAAGCTATTTAAAAAAAGAGTAAAATCCTCATCTCCTGATATTTAAAGCTAAAGACATACCGCTTATAATGTGGCTTTAAAAAGTACTGACATGCACACTCCACACCTTGCAGTGTTTATTTAAAAAAATATATACTAATGTATTTACCTTTTTTCTTTCAGCACAAAACTCTACAGCGCTTTGTTTTTAATCCAAAACTATTTTTGATCAAATACTTTGAACATGTGACAAAAACAGAAAACACTTGAAGATGTCTAATACTTAAAGTTAAAAAGTTATTTTTCTTTACAAATAAAACCACCAAGTATCGCTTGAAAATGTCCAAAACACTCACCGTATTAATTCTGGCGTCCTGCAGAGCCATGGTCCAAGCTCTGCCACCAAAGATAGAAACCACATTCATCAGAGAGCAAAAAAAAAAGGTACACATTTACTTTAAACTACTAGTCGTCCCCCTGGCAGGTTTCTATTTAAAACCATTTTCCAAACAGCCAAGAAGTTTGTTTCTAATAGCAAAAGAGATGGGCTTGAATTAAAATAAAAACAAACACATTGATTTAAAGAAATGTAATGTTGAAAATCACCAAAAAAAAATCTTATTATTATTCAAAAACAACTGGAATTGGTTTTCCAGCATCAGGCTCCTTATGCATACTTTCACTACATATGTTGACTTTTTACATCAGACTATAAGCTCCACATATGTGAGGAATGAAAGAATCTCTGCTACTGAAATATGACTTTAAACCTAAATGTTGGGGCTAATGTGCATTTAATCACTAATATAATAATTAGAGTGTATTTCCTGCCTTACAAGGCATCATCTGCACTGTCTGCACACAAGCTGATGACCCGTCCATCTCTGCACACTATCTGGAACAAGGCATCACGTGTTTTCCCATCTGGAGGGTTTAGCTCTAGAAGGAAGGAGGAAACACAAAGGTGACACATTTAAAACCGTATCAAAGTCGTCAGCTAGAAGACTTGGCGTCTGTTTGATAAGCAAACAAAAATAAACCATGTGACGATACCCTGACAAGCGGCGGAGCTACGGATGTTAATGCAGTGGACTCTCATGTGGATGTCATCCTCCATGTCACGCCGCTGCTGGTCGTTGTAGAACACCAGGCGGCCGTCCACCCATAAGTCAAACCAGTTTCTTTTCCAGCGGCGAAGGATGGAGCCTTTAGAGGAACAAAATCAGACTCCAGCTAAGTTTGTGCAAATAATTTGCCACAAGTCGATAAAGTCTGCTTACTTTGTCTGTGGAGCCAACCGCTCTTTACGATAGCCATGTCAGAAGCAACGCCTAAAGGGAAGAAATGTAAATATTAGACACTCTCTGGTGACAGGAGGGGCATGTCTGAGATAAACCTTTGGAGAGGCCTTGAATAGAATAGAATAGAATAGAATAGAATAGAATAGAATAGAATAGAATAGAATATGGAGATAGGATATTTCTGGTGTTTACAGCAGCAAAAAGATTATAGAGAAAAATGGTCACACCAATTTGGATCTTAGAGAAAATAAAAAAAGAATAACATAAAAGTGAACAGTTAAAATATAAACAATAAAACAAGCAGTATATAAATAAAGAAAAAAATATATACCGGTACCTAATTTGTTTGATAACTTTATAATTTTACAGTCACATAGCATAAAGCAACCAAAACAGCTGCTGCAGATATTTAAGCTTGGGTGAAAATATAAAGATATTTTATTGACTTTGTCCTAAAGTATTAAAATCTTAATTTAAAAGCAACCTTTTTATTTACTTTGACTCTCTAAATGATTTAGCTTTATTCAATAGAGCTATAGGAAAGAAGTAATTCATAATAATATATTGTTGGTGAGAGAACATGATGAAATGATGAATAACGGGATGCAGTTTTTAGCTTTTTGCTTCCTATAAATAGCTAACCAACAGCAGACTTGCTAACGCTCACTTTAAATGTTTATAGTCAGAATCAACATTACAACACTGACTTCATTAGTTCTTATAATACGTTAACGAGGCGTTATTTTTGGTCTAGATACTTACTTGAGTCCTTAAATGTTTTGGACGAGATAACCTTTTCTTGAGGATACAGAAAACGCGGAAGTGATATGAAAAAAACTAAGATGCGTTACTCGGAGCAAGAAAAGCCTATATAGCTATCCGCTATGTCTTCTTTCTGGGATGGGTGTTAACCCCGCCCACACAGCATCTTTACGAACCAACAGTCTCTGTGCGGAGGGAGGGTGCGTTTGTTTTCACTGACGTCACCGATCAGCTGACCGTGGTGGAAAATGCTAGCAAACGAAGGGAGGTGCGTTTGATTATAACTCCACGTTCCTGATGCACACATGGGACGAGAAACGACAGGTTATCATTAATTTGACCAAAATGTTTAATTTTTAAATGTTTTAAGCAATTAGAAAAAAAATGCTTAAATTTACAGTAAAATACATCTTATCAATTGTCAAAAAAAATTATATCTGAATCTGATGCCTATTCCACAATATATTTTGGGGATATTTCATGGTCCATTCTAGGGTAAGAATAAAGTAAAAATTCATTCTAAATAGATTAAAAAAATAAATAAATATATATATATATATATATATATATATATATATATATATATATATATATATATATATATATATATATATATATTCTATTTTCAGCAAATTATTTTTTATAATAATCACAGATTAGTTTTCTAAGCTGTATGCTCAGTGCCAAAGTCTTAATGCGTCCTAAAAAGTTTTTTAGATCCTCGATGAAAAGTTTTCTGTTCCAGTAAAACATTTTTTAAATAAAAGCTTCTTTTTTTTTATTTTTATTATTACAAAAAAAAAATCTAGTGTAATTTTTCAGAAAGAGGTGGTCGGGATGAAACACAATATTTCTACGGGCTTTTTAATGCCAAAAGAAAATAACTACTATTTATACATTTTTAGCCACACACCAAATCTTATATTAATATTTTTTAATGTCCCCAGAGGTCAGTTTTTCCTTATTTTGTGTTTTTATTTTATTTTATTTTAGAGTTCCAATAACGACTCAGGACTTGCTTTTGTAATCAAATTTTGATATAAAAATATTAAAATAAAGAGACTCAATATTTGGTCGTAATTTAAATGTTTCTTCCACGATACAAACTTTCAGCTGTGAAACATGCCTCTCCGTGCCATAGTAACGGCCAGCCCGGTGGATAAAACAAGCGCTCCTTAGTACTAGCAGTTAGCCAGCCGAGGAGAGTACGCAGAAGCTAAATAGATATCTCAAAATGGCAACGGCTATTTATTTGGAGCATTATCTTGACAGTGAGTATTTAAAAAATGATCTTCGTCGTGATGGAACTGTCACGTAAAACTTTGTTTGAAGTTTAGTTTTATTTATTTATTTATCGAAGGACATGATTGCTGGGCAGGAAAGGCGCGTTAGCTAGTAGCTCGCCTGCTAGCAGAGTAGCGCCGCTCAAATGGAAATAAAGTTTCTTAAAGTGCCTTTTTATAGTGTGCATTTTACCGATAGAAAAAATGATAATGAAGTGATCCTGGAAAGTGATATGAATTACGAAAACAATTTAAAACATGAGCCATTTTGTTTTGGTAAATTAATAAACACGTCCTTAAAGATTAAAATCTAAGAGAAACATTCATTTTCTTTATATTTAGATTTATGATTTATATATATAAATATGTTTTTTTTTTTTTTTTTAAGTTTGGGGACGTCTTAGTAAATATTGCACCATGCATGTGCAACCTGTTGGAGACAGCCGCGTTTCCACTCACTGCAGGGTGGGGGGGGGCTTCACCATGATCACCCATCCTCACAGGGAAATCCACTCTAAGATGGAAAGCTCTGTGCTCAGAGCATCTAAGTTCTCTGGGATCCATAGATAATGTTTTTCAATGAATCCAGCAGAGGTGTAGAAATGGTCCTTATGACTCATCTAACGGGCTGACATGTTAATGAGATCACATCCCATATATACACCACGTGTTAGAAAAACAGATCAAATTTGGTTTATCTTAATAAAAAAAAAAGCCTTATCACAACTTTATTTTTACAGTTTTATGTACAACAGAGTATAAGGATCAGGCTAAAGATTTTGTTTTTCTTCTGTTTTTAGAATAAAGTTGTGATATTATAAGAATAAAGTTGTATTTTATGACAACTCCTACAGAAGCCCTGTCTTCCCTAAAATGAGGAATGTGGAGCATCATGTGAAGTTCTACTTTAGCATCGGTTTGAAAAATCAGGAAATCTTTTAGCAGCAGCATCAAACTGGGCAGGATGTCAAAGTGGACTCTGGTTGCTGATTGGTGGAGCTGGTCTGCCGTCATTTGCTGGGCGGAGCTCCAAGCTTTCTTTCTGAAAAGGGTTGTTGTATGATGACTTTATTCTCGTAATGTTACGACTTTGTTCTCGTAATGTAAATAATTTATTCTCTTAATATTAGCACTTTATTCTCGTAATGTTAAGACTTTATTCTCGTAATGTTACGACTTTGTTCTCGTAATGTAAATAATTTATTCTCTTAATATTAGCACTTTATTCTCGTAATGATACGACTTTATTCTTGTAATTGTCCAAATACAATAAGAAAAAACACTGTTATGTACAACAGAGTATAAGGGTCAGGCTAGAGATTTTGTTTTTCTTCTATTTTTAGAATAAAGTTTTGATATTATAAGAATAAAGTTGTATTTTATGACAACTCCTACGAGAAGCCCTGTCTTCCCTAAAATGAGGAATGTGGAGCATCATGTGAAGTTCTACTTTAGCATCAGTTTGATAAATCAGGAAACCTTTTAGCAGCAGCATCAAACTGGGCAGGATGTCAAAGTGGACTCTGGTTGCTGATTGGAGGAGCTGGTCAGCTGTTATCTGCTGGGCGGAGCTCCAAGCTTTCTTTCTGAAACGGGTTGATGTTTGATGACTTTATTCTCGTAATGTTAGGACTTTATTCTCGTGATGTTAAGAATTTATTCTCGTAATGTTAGGACTTTATTCTCGTAATGTTAAGAATTTATTCTCGTAATGTTAGGACTTTATTCTCGTAATGTTAGGACTTTATTCTCGTAATGTTAGGACTTTATTCTTGTGATGTTAAGAATTTATTCTCGTAATGTTAGGACTTTATTCTCGTGATGTTAAGAATTTATTCCCATAATGTTAAGACTTTATTCTCGGAATGTTACGACTTTGTTCTCGTAATGTAAATAATTTATTCTCTTAATATTAGCACTTTATTCTCGTAATGTTAAGACTTTATTCTCATAATGTTATGACTTTATTCTTGTAATTGTCCAAATACAATCAGAAAAAACACTGTTATTAACTGAAATTATGAGATCGGATACACAAGATTTTTTTCCGATAAAATTTCATAAAATTTTCACGATGTGACGAGAAAAAGATGAATATATTGTTGGGTTCATTTTTAGTCCAGAGGCATTCCCATCATCATTCTAATGTTAATTCTAACGTCCACGGAAAGCTGCCTAGTAAGGTGAGATCCATAACGTTTAGATGTTGCTCACTCTATTTACTGCTGCTATATCGTAGACATCCATTTTTTTCTTTTTCATTTCATTAACAAATATGTCAAATAAAATAGCCTAATGCTGGACTTGAATCATATGTATTTGTTAAATAAACAAGAAATGTATATTTTCATTTTACTCCGTTCTAGGTATTGAAAATCTACCATGCGAGTTACAGAGGAACTTCACTTTGATGCGGGAATTGGACAACAGAACCGAAGGTGATTATGTTCACTGATAACTTCACGACTTTTCTATTTTCTACTTGCAGTGGCAAGCTTTTTTGCAATATTTTGAAATAGAAATATGAAAGTTTCTTAATTAGCTTTGGAGCTGTGGTGGCAACAGCGAGTTTACTCGTCTCTCTATCATCCGTTATGCAGAAAAGAAAGGAGAGATCGACAAACTGGCGGAGGAGTACATAGCAAATGTGAAGAACCTGGCCTCGGAGCAGAGAGTGGAACACCTGCAGAAGATCCAGAACGCCTACAGCAAGTGCAAAGAGTTCAGTGATGACAAAGTGCAGCTTGCAATGCAGACATATGAAATGGTCAGTCTGAACTCAGGATTCCGCTTAACTGTCAGATCTTAATTCCTTTCAGTAAACGTTTCTAGATCATTCAAAGGTAGAGGTCACGCTAACCAAGACCAGCTTTAATTGTTCTGATTGAAAGGTTTATGTTTTTTTGTTGTTATTTTACTGCAGGTGGATAAACACATCCGCAGACTTGATGCAGATCTGGCTCGGTTCGAGAATGAGCTGAAGGAGAAACTAGAGCTGAGTGGTTATGAAAGTACAGAAGGAAGGGGACTGAAGAGTAAGTGGAGCAACTATAAGGCTTTATCTGTGTAAGGCTGCATCGAAAGTTTAATTTTTATGAGTAAATGTGTTTTTATTTTTCCCCAGAGAACGATATTAGGGGCCAGAAAGATAAGCGTGGATCCAGGGGTCGAGGAAGGAAGGGTTCTGATGAAGATTCTCCCAGGAAGAAGAAGAAGAGCAGGTATCTTTGCATGGTGGATTATTAAAGGAAAAGTCCCGTCAGCAAGGAATAATAAATCAATTATTATTTATACCTAAAAATAATAAGTTCCATGTGATTTAAGGAAT